TAAATTTTGTTATAGTAACAAAAAGCTGACAAATACAATACTGAATGTTGCTGTACTCCAAATTATCATATAACAGCGGGAGGTTATGGGAATGGGTAACTATGTGTAGGATGGGCATAGGGGGAGGGGAAAGAGCTAAACACCTTCTCTAGGGGAAGTCAAAGGCTGAACTATGAGAAAAAAAAAAGTAATACGGTTGTTTCCTTTGGAGATCTAAACACCAAGAGAATCAGGTAAGAGCTGAAATGGTTGCCTAACAGAAGGGCATCGGGAGCAACCCTCAGAGGGCATCTCAACTCCCAGCGTGCATAAATAATTTTGATTTAAAAACTGAAACAAAAAAAAATTTAAATTAAATTAAAAAAGGTACGATCATTCCTACGCCTCCTGCTTTGGCCATTTCTTGAGTTCTGAATAAATATGAGGACTTTCTGATGTGTTTCAGTCTTTTGAGTGAGTCCTTTGCAGCTCTTCTAGACAGACAGTTCAGTAGGGCTCAGAAAGGGGGAGAGACAGAAACAGAGGTGGAGCTAAAGCCTTAGAAGCCACACCTGGCTCCTCCTCCTACACCTGGGGCAGGCTTCCTAACCTCTCTGTGCCTGGACAGGGTTGGTGCTAGGATAACTAGTAGGTCAGGGCCAAGACCATCAGCTCGTCACAACCTGAGGTGGGCGCTGGGAGGGACAGGAGAAGGAAGTGGCCTGGTCAGTGTGCAGCCTCCTCTTCACCCGCTCTAAACGTGAGGGCTTCCTCAGGCCTGCACTGGCCATCACAGTGGACACAAAGACACTCTGGGCCTGGAAACTCGAAACCTGAGTCACACCATGCCACACTCATCGTGTTTACAGAAAGCAAGATCATTATTTACAGGAACAGAAACATTGTGCTAATTGACTTTTAAAGACGTCAAATTCAGCAGACAAAAAGGACACCAAACTGCGTGGAAAAGGTTGTGGTCCCCGCCACCCTCTGTACCCAGGACCTTCTCTCACCTGGCTGTCCACGGACCCACGGACCCTCCTGACATTAACAAGCCCACTTTTTCCACGGAGGAACCCAAGTTAAGAAAATAAAACTTTCTTCCCAGACCACACGAGCCCCTGAGCCAAGTTATATCAGTCCCTGGAGATCCCTGGGGCCCCGTTCCCCACGCCTATTCCAAGGAAGGGTTCTGGGCAATGTGAGTCACACAGCTCCGTCCCTGGGACGCAGAGGACACCCACCCACTCGGGCCCCCACCTTCTAGCAAGCCTCTCTTGCTTCTTTGGGGAAGCAAGCTTTCTGCTTAGTCCAGGATTAGAAAGATGCAGAGGGGAACTTTAGTTCTAGGTTTAAGTTGCCCTAAACTAGTCTTAGGGACAGCGACCAGGTCAGTGATGAAGCTGTTAACACCTGGTGACAAAGGGAGAAAAATAAAAACAAAAAGAGATGCATTTTCTATGAATCGTTCTTATTTCTGGGGTGAGATGCTTCTTACATTTTTGTTTTAAAGTGAATATTTTTAAAAAATGAAATAATGGTGATGGTGGATAACATATTATTTTTTTTAGTGTCCTTGGCAAAATTGAAAGTTGGTATTTCTAGTCCCTCCTCGAAATAAACTTTTTTTTTTTTTTAAAGTAAAATGTCAGGGACACACTTGTGGTAAATGACAAAGAGAATAAGACCAAGCCCCAGAGGCAGAACCACACACTCCAAGGGTGAGAAGGGCCCTGAGGCATCTCGTCCAATCTCCGTTTGGTATAAGTATGTGCCTGAACCTCCCTGCCAAGGGACTGACTGGCCTTCTTTGGTCCTCTTCAGTGACAGGGAGCTCACTCCCTCTGCACAGCTCTGGTGGTTATAAAAGTGTCCCTTGCATAGCTGAGAAACCTGCACCATGCTGGGATCTGGACCAATGCCTGAGGCCTAGAGGAGGCCTCTCCTCCTCCAAGGGCAGCCTGCAATACACCCACCCTGCCCACCCAGTCTTCCTGGGCTGACATCTGCTTGCTCCTTTGATCCCTGTACCCCAGTCATTCCTCTTATGGAACATCTTGGGCTAACAAGTGAATTCAAGCCCAGTTTCTCCCCTCCTGGCCCATGCCCGGCCCCCTAGTTCTCAAGATGTGGCAGTGACTCAGGGGCCTCAATTCATGAGACAACTCTGGCTGCTCCAGACCATCTGAGAAAGCAACAGATAAACCACCGTGGGGGAGGGGGAAAGCAACATACAAAAAAAGTCCTTTCGATCCCACTCGTTATCAGCATATCTGCTTTGAAAAAAGTCCAGAAGGAAATAAGCCAAAATGGCCATGGCCATCATCCCTTGAGGTGAGTTAATGGATGACTTTTATCTCATTTTTTGCTTTGCTGTGTTTTCCAGTTTTTCTACAACAAGCATTATAAAGTAGAATAAAATAGTGTCCACTTAGAGGTTTAAAAATTAAAAAGTAAAGTTAAAATCCTGTAGCCCAGGACCCTACTTCTCAATTGCTCTCCAATGAACAAGCTGGGGAGGTGGCCTGGTGCTCCAGAGAAAGGCTCTGGGCCCAGCCCTGTGGGGACGACCTTGCCCATCTGCCCTTCTCCAGCCTTTGGGTCCTCCACCCTCCATGGGCTCCCGACCCTGGCCTGAGGGAGGAGTGGGTGAGGAGCGTGAAGGAGATGTAAAGACAAGGCTCCTCCTGCCCCCGCAGGTCTCCTGCTTAGCACACTGTGGACTAGCCGAGGAGGTGTAACGTCCATGGAACGTCACAGACCCAGCCCTCCTGACCCTAGACCAGGGCTCGCTCCTTTGGGGGCTCAGAACAGAGTCTCTGGGTCACACTGGGACAAGACTGTTGCTGGATCAGAGTCTGCTGAAGTGAGTCAGCCCCCAGGACAGGTCTTTAACCCCAGGATCCCAAGGCACAAGGTCGATGCTTTGCCAAGGCCCAAGTAGAAGTGGAGGCACCCGGGTCAGAGTCCTGCCTGCTTCCCCATGAGCAGAGGTGGCCTTGGGTCTGTCCTCCTGTAGCCACAGGTGAGTTGTCCTTCTGGGGCCTCAGGTTTCCATGGGTAAAATTAGGGTGGGGAGCACCCTGTGTTCTGGACAGTGGCTGGACTGGGTGGACTTGGAGTTTCTTTCCAGTCTTAATACTCAGGTGATGGTGGAAACAGAGCCTGGCACTGACTAGAGCCTGGCACTGACCCATTGGGGTGGGCAGATACTTGCTATCCAGTCCTGCCTCTCGGGTGACCATGGGCCCCAGGTCCTAGCCGATGTCCAGGTCTAACTCACCGTGCTAGACATGGGTGTCGAGCACAGGTGTGTGGGAGTGGGGTTGTGGAATTGAGTATGGGGTGCCCCAAAGATGCACGTCCTTTTTAGTTTCTGGTGTAGGCACATTCTTCAATGGTTTGGCTTTTCTGGGGATTCTAAGTTTCACTTCACCCCAGCTTTTCCCAGCTACCCCCCGACTGTCCCCTCTTTCTCAGTTCTTTGAACTCCATTCCAACCTCCATTTGAAGCTCCAGTTTTGTGTTCTTCTATCTCTGTCTCTGTCCTAGAGCCAAGCCTGTCACTTAGGAACCTGAGTGTAGCCATTGGCTGAATGACTACGTGTGTCCCCACTCCCGTCCTTCCTTCAGGAGCCAGCCTGCTGCTCCTGGGTCCCATCACCCTCAGCAATCAGAACCTGTGTCGTTCCAGACAGAAAGGGTGATGGGCTCTCATTGTACAATGACAAACTCAAATCATTATTCTGCCAAGATCCGAATGACAAATTGGGAAGTCTGAGAGCGCTGTGATTTGTTAACCTGCCATCGCCTCTCAGGAGGCACACGTTTTAATTAAATCCCTGGAGTGATTTGGGAGTCCTTCTACTGTGCCCCCCGGGAGCTCCACTGGGCTGCCCTGGGGAAAGAGTAGGGCCTCTTCGTAATGGAGATGAAGGCTCCAAAAATTGTTCCTAAAGGATTGGGAGGTGGGGCGAGTGCTGGCAGCTCCTGCAAACACTGCCAGCCGGGGTGCAAGGAGCTTAGCAGCACTTGGAGACTCCCAGCCACCCCACCACTCCACCACTTTATAGGTGAGGAAACCAAGACCTAGGGAAGTGCTTTGGCTAGGATGCACCCATAGCAAGGGCTGTGTGTGTGTGTGTGTGTGTGTGTGTGTGTGTGTGTGTCCATCCTGGGTGTAGGAAATGTAGGATTCATCCCAGGAAAAGTGGGGAAAGTCAGAAGAGGGTATGACTCACCCCTTTATTTAATAGGAACCTCTGGCTCAGGGAGGATGACTAAGTTGAGGGAGAGAAGCAGAGGGTGGCAAGAGCAAAAATGCCAATGTCCTCCTTTTCTCTAGTCACACCTGGAGAGGGAAGTAGTCTGATGGGGAGGTCAATCCTGGCTCCAAGTCTTGCTCTCCTATCTTTTGAGGAAGAACCTGAGAAAATTCTTGATTCCTCCAGAAAAGCCCTAGTCCACTGCAGTGGCCTGAGCAGAAAAGGAGAAGGGCTGGGCAGGCTGGGCAGAGGGCCTGAGGTGGTACCTGGGCTGCCCAAGGCCTCACAGTCCTGCATAGATCCCGACCTGCCCACTCACCCCACCTGGGGGCACAAAGGATAGCAAAGGGAAATTGCTGGTGCGGGGGTCAAGACCACAAGGGGTGGGGCGGGAGCTGAGGCTTTTAGGGAATCCCGGACAGGCCTGGAGGTTGGTGAGCAGGGCCAGCCAGAGCCTCCAGGGGAGGCCACCACTTTCTAACTGTGGGACTTGGCAGGCCTCACATTCTGTCTGACTCATCTGAGAGATGACAGGGTCAGCATCCCGGTCCCACTCCAAGGCTGATGAGGTAGGGAGCATAGGTGCAGGTGAGATGTGTTTGGAAGCCACATCCTGCTGGGCCCTCTGCCTGGAGGTCCCACAGCCCCTCAAGCAAGGCTGCCAGCTGACCATCCCTAGCATCAAGGGCCATCTTGCCCCCCCTCCACTTCAGTCCCTCAGAGGTCCCTGTGTCACCACCTCCCTCCTGGACTCACCCTCAGGGCCGGCAGGGAGCTGACCTGGTCCATGGTCAGTGTGGCCTCTTTGTAGTACTTGCCTGCAGGGCAGAGCTTCAAGAAGGTGTCGTGGATGCTGGAGAGAGAGAGGTGACAGGCATGTGACCATTGGGCAGGAAAGGCAATTAGCAGGCCACCTCCTGTCTCCTTGCTCTCTGGGAGAAGTGATATAGAAAGGGCAGCAATGGATCTTTCCATCCCAGAGACACCTCTGAGCCCACCCATGTGCCCAGGGGGTGTTAGCTGTGCAGAGCATGAGGGAAGGTGAGCCGTAGTGCTCTGCGACCTGGGACACACTCTGCAGTGTTAGTTCTGGTGGGTCTTCTGTTATGACTTGGTCTAGTCCCTCAGGTAGAGATGAAGACACCAGGGTCCCCTTCTTCTGGCCATTGCCCACCCCATCCTCAGCATATGATGGGCATGGGTAGGCCAGGGGTAGAACCTGTCAGCCACACAGCACACAAGCCCACTGGGTGGCAAGCACCAGACCACAGCATAGATGGTCCCTATCACCCACCTCTCTGTATGAGGCCCTAGGCCAGTCCAGGGGACTTTGCTTGTAAGTGACAGGCAGAGGGTAAAGCGGAACTCTGCCTTAGGCTAAGAGAGGATGACCCCTGGTCCTTTGTCCCTCTCATTCCATCCTGGACCATTAGTCCTCATCTATAAGCAGGCCCTTGGGCCTGTAGGAACAGTGACTAAGGCAGCTTATAGAGAGAACAGCGTAGCAGCCTGGACCCAGGAGGACTGGACACCAGATCCTGCACTGCCCCAGTAGGACTGTGTGACCTGGGGCAACTTACTTAACCCTTCTGAGCCTTAGCTTCATCTTCTGGAAAAAGGGCAATTAATCACCTCTTTCAAGGGCTATGGTGCACATTCAATGTGAATGAGAGGAAGGGCTAGGGCTGTGTGTGGGGGTAGACGGGGAAACCACAGGCTGGTTAAAAACACATTCTCTATAGCCAGACAGACCTAAGTTCAAATCCTGACTCTGCCACTTTATAGCTCTGAGAGCTTGAGGAAGCTTCTGGACCCACCTGAGCCTCCTCATCTCTTAACTGGGGTAAGGAGTTTCCCTCCCACATTTATAGGGATTGATGGGGGAGGTATGTGGAATGTCAGCATCGCACCCGGCACCTGAGGAGGCCTGTGGTACAGGGGACCTCAGAGGAGCCCCTGAGCCATGTGATGCCCATCTGTGTCCTTTTCCTGTTCTCCAGGTGTCCCCATGCCCTCTGGCCATACAGAACCCCAAATGAGACTGTGATAAGAGGAGCCGTCTAGCCCAAGCTGGGCCTGGTCTCTGGACTCCCTTTATGGTCCCTTTGTGCTTCAAAATTATCCTTCTCTCCTCTACTTCTTTCCTGTTCCTCTCCTCTCCCAGGACATTTCTGATCTCACCTGAGTGCTAGGAGACAAGTAATCCGAGCAGACCAATTCACACTTAGGAGCGTGAGTGACCGATAGCCCCCCATGACATTCCTGGGGCACACGGTTTATAAATCCAAATGAACCTTTGATCGGTGGAACTTAGGACACATGACCAAGCAAAGACTTTGGAGAGTTATTTTATAGAGATTCAGGGGGAAAGCAGGAAGCCTTCCCAGGACCCACCTGAAGGGGACCACAGAGCCACCTCTGCCCCCTCCAGCCACTCCTCTGTCACAGCTTACTGAACAGGAAAGCATCCTTTAGATCCTGTACCAATTGCTCCCCAGCTTCCTCGCCCTCTGGCTTCTAGCAGGCATTGGCCCAAGAGAAACCCCAGCAGGAAAGAGAGGTCAGGATTCATCCTCCCTTCCCTCCCAGCCTCAACCCTACTCTGGCTATATCCATGTTCCTTCTGTCAAGGACCAAGTGACCAGTTGCCACTACTCTAAGTCCTCAGTTGGGTGCCTCAGGCCCAGGGGTGGTGATGACTAGTGTCTGGATGTCATCTCCACCTCCAAAAGTCACTTTAAATCATCTTTAGAACTTCCAGCCAGGTGCCACCTGCTCCTGCTGGGGTCCTGACAGACGAGGCCGGCAGACCCATTCGGATCCTCTCCCACCGGCTGTGTGACCAGAGGTGAGTTTGGGGAACTCTCTGGGCAGACAGAGGTTCCAGGCCTGACTGCAGTGGTGAGGTGGTCTCCTTCAATGGCTTTGGGCTGACTCTGGGGAGGGCCTGACAAGTGGAGCTGGGACAGGGCTGTGAGTATCTGTGGAGAGCATCCTGCTCCTGCTGACCTTGCAAGGGACCCTGAGCCGTGACCAGAGGCTCTGCCCAAGTTGGGGAGGGAGCTGAAAAGCAGGGTGTCAGGCTGAGAGACACTCTCCTCAAATGAGTTGGAACAAGATGTGGGTGGCCAGGTCAACAAGGAGGGAAGGACAGCCATCACTGCCGGGACCCTAGTGGCCTCTAAGGGACAGGGGCAGTGGGAGAGGTGGGTTTCTGTCAAAAGGAGTATTTTGCTGCTGGTATTGTTAGAATTGCCAGTGTGGGATGATAATAAAAAGCAGGCCAACTTTCAGTAAGTTTTACTAATTAAAAATAAACTCTCCCCTGTGGCCCAGCACGTTCCAACCGCACTCAGAGCAACGGCTCCCACACCCCGCAGTGTGGGGTGCAGCTTGGGGTGCCCACAGCACTGCCAACCCTCATGGAGGTTTCTCATTTTTCATGACAATCTTGCAAGGCAGGGACCATTATTTCCTTTACAGATGAGGAAACAGAAGGCCAAGGAGGTAAAATCATTTGCCTAAGGTCATATGGTGGAAAGGCCAGGGTTGCTACACCAAAATGTTTTCTTCCCAGGAGCCCAGAGAAGGGGACATGGATGGACCACTGAGAGAAAGAGAAGAGGCCCGCTGCCATTGCCCCCCACGCTTAATGTGCTAGGCACCCTCGAACACATTGCCTCATTGAATCTCCCAAAAGACCCATGTGGGAGCAGCATACAGGTTATAAATCCCATGGGTGGGTAAACTGAGGCTCAGAGGATGCACAGCCCAAGGTCATACAACTGGGAAGATACAGAGGGGAGCTGGGCCCTCCAGCTGCTCTGTTTACCTCCAAAGGGTCCATCCCCTCTGCCCAGGTGAGAGGAGAGGCTCCTGGGATGGGAGGACTGGAGAGAGGGCCCTGAGCCCCTTCAGGCCTTCCCAGGCTGCCACATGGGCTGGCTGCCCACAGATGAATCGCGGCTGCATCTCAGCTGCCACAAAATGTTCTTCTCCTCCAAATATGGATCAGCCTGCTCCAAATGGAACTCTGAATTAATCACTAATGGACTCAGAAGTCAAAGCCATTTGAAAAACTCACACATTCAGCCTGCCAGCGGTCAAGCCGCCCAGGCGGGGCTCCCTCCACACTTAGCTCAGAGGCAGGGAAGGGCTGTCTGCGGCTCCGGGGCTGGCTCCACCGACGGCCCTCCATGTGACCTTGACCACTGAGCTCCTCCAGGCCTCAGTTTCCCCTCAATACAATGAAAGCCTCAGTGATACCGTGACAGACGCCCCTCTCCCTTGCGCTCCCTCCAGTTTCGGCATCTATGGCTCTTGGTTTCTGGACCACCCTTTTGCCTCTGAGACTCTTAGTTTAGTGGTTCTCAATGTGGTCTCTCTTAGACTCATGGGGGGAGCTTGTAAAAGGATCCAAACCCACCAGCCCCCAAGATTCTCATTCCAGGCCAGCACAGAGCCCAAGCATCTGCAGATTCTATAAGCTTCCCAGGGTTTACTGTGTCTGCAAGACCAAGAACACAGATTCATTCAGCTCAAGCCCCAGTTTCCTCTTCTCTGGTCCTTCCCTGGGCTCCATTCTCTGGGCTTCTCCCCACCCCAAGGATCAACAGTTCCTTGATCTGTAGACGGCCTGCAGATACTTGATAAATGGCCCTTCTTTAGCCTAAAAATGTGGCTTTTAGTCCCCTCATCTGCTATTTCCAAGCTGTGTGTACTTGGGCAAGTCTCTGCTTTTCTGAGTCACTGTGCAGAAAGGAATACCATGATAATAGAGGCTGCCACTCAGTGATGAGCCTTGTGCAGGCCTTGCACACACAATGACGCAGATTTAATCACCTCCTTCCAAATGATGACTCTATGAGATTAGGTGCTCTGACTCTCATCTGAGGCTCAGGGAGGGTAAGACACTCATCACAGACACACAGCTGGGAAGGGGCAGAGTTGAGCCTCAAACTCAGGCTTTTAGCTCCCAGGAAGTAAACCTGCAACACTCCACCTATTGACCAGGTGCTCCGGGAGAAGTCAGGAATACCAGGACAGGGTCAGGTTGGGGCCAGGACAGGGCCAGGACAGGGCCAGGACAGGGCTTGGAGACCGTAAAGAACTGGGAACTTCCAGGGTGCTAAGAAGAAAGGGTGGCCTCATAGGGGATAGGAGTGTAGCTGAGTGGTAGAGTACTTGCCCCAGATATGCACCCTGGGTTATGTTCCCCAGGACCACCACCAAAATAGAAAAGTTGAATTTTGGGGCTGGGAGTGTAGCTCAGTGGCAGAACACTTGTCTAGCTTGTACGAGTCCCTGGGTTGGTATGATTCCAGCACTGGAAAGGAAGGAAGACCAGCCAACCTGGTGACTGGTTTGTCCTGAGCTGGGCTAGGAGACCCCAGACCAAACCCACAGTCAACCCAAGGAGGCAGCAGGAGAGATCCCTTGGTGATGTCCCCAGAGTCCAGCCTGAGCCAGGCTGACCGGACCCCAGCCACAAAGGTCTGGACTAGATCAGGCTGAGCCCTGCCCATGAAGCCACATGTGCTCTCAATGGGACTTGGAGGTTCTGGCCACAGTCCCTTGGGCCTTAGCCCCAAAGAGGCATCTGGGAGTTGGGGTTTGGGGGACAGCTGATTAAACAGAAGTCAGATGCAGCTGCCTGAAGCTTAGGCAGAAAGGGAAGTGGCCCCTTCAGAGATCAAAACCTGAGGAAGAAAGTCCCACAGCCAGGAAGTTCAGAGCAGAGAGTCCCTTTTTGGAGAGCCAAGCCCCAGCAGCTGTGGTCTGCTCCTCCCAGCAGGTATCATCTGCAGATCTGGTGACCTGGCCTTTATGTCCTTATACAAGTCTCAGATAAGGAGGTAGAAAAATGTTAGCTACCTCCCCACAAAGGTTATTTCTACCCATCGGTTTCTTGGTCAGTTTTGTTCAACCCCCTATCCAACTGTACTGTCATTCAGGCCACATTTCTCTGTCACATTCATAGGAAAATCATGACATGTCATCAGAAGCCACATAGGAATGTTATTCAAAAGTGACAGCTTGGGTCTGGCCTCCCCTGACCTTGGTAGCCCACTTTGGCCTTTTTCTCTCCTGGGCATCATTTCCTGAGTCCCTGCCCTGAAGCTGGGCATCCATGTCAAAGCTGCTCCCCTCACAGACAACGCACCCACACTAAGCCTGTGTGCAGGACCCTGGGCACCTCCCAGGGCTACCCTTGCCTATGAATGTCCTTCCAGGGATGATTTCCTTCCCAGTGTATATGTAGGAGCAGCTCTTATTTCACAAGTCTAGCTTACCAAACTCACACGGTTACATGGTTAAAACACAAGCAGTACTCTAAAGCTTACAATTAAAATTACTAATGCTCAGTACCCCACACCACCTCCCTACCCCTGCCCTCCAGAGGCAGCATTTTATGAACAGTTTGCTATTTCTTAGTTCTGTTTGGTTTTGGAGGTGTTAGGAATCAAACCTAAGGCCTTGCAAGTGCTAAATACTCTACCAACACTGCCATTTATCAATATTTTTATTGTAGATATTATCCTGTGACATCCTATTATAAAAAAGTATTTCTTTCCCTATATATAATTCTCCTTCCCCCAGCCTCCCAATATAAAACAATTTGCCTGAATCAATATTCAGTGTTTAGGGGCTGGGGACATAGCTCAGTTGATAGAGTGCTTGCCTTGCATGCACAAGACCCTGAGTTCGATCCCCAGCACCACAAAAAAAGAAAATCAGTGTTTATATTATTATTATTATATGTATTATTCAAACATTGCTCACAGCTAAGTTCCATAGCACAACATGATTACATTTTCTTTTTTTTTTCAAGGCCTTTTGTTTTTCCCAGAGTTAATAAAGACTTTGTTTTTCTTTTGCTTAAATTTCAGTGTGTCTATCATTATTTCATTTGTCCCCAAGCGTTTTTCCCTCCCAGTACTGAGGATTAAACCCAGGGACAAGTGTAAAGCTACCACTGAACCACAGCCCAATCCCTTTCCTTTTTTCTTTTCTTTTCTTTCTTTCTTTCTTTTTTTGGACACAAGTTCTCACTAAATTTCTCATGCTGGCCTTGAACTCTTAACCTTGGCCTCCCAAGTAGCTGAGATTATTATAGGTTTGTGCTACCACACTCAGATTCATCCCCAAACTTTCTGCAGAACTATAGTTTCCTCTCAACATAGTTATAATATCAACATTGGTAGATTCATTTTGTTTTCTTGGGGTACCACTACTGGCACCCTGACTCCTTGGTTCTAATCTGGATAACTGCCTTCCAGCCCCACTGATCATCACTGTCCTTTGGCTTCCCTGCACTATCATGATGGTAATGCATTTTGTCTTCCTCTATGTTGAAATCCTTTGTTTCCTGAATTCTAATGTCTTCTTTTTCCTTGGCTACTTACTAGTTTGAATGGAGCACAACCTCCAAAAGCTTTCTCAAAGAAGGTCTATAAAACATCTTTTTCAAAATCTCCATGTCAAAAATATTGTTATTCCACTTTCTCTTAGGTTCACAGTTTAGCTGATTCTAGGCTGGAAAAATTTTCTTAGAATTTTGAAGGTGTTTAGGCACTGCCTTCCAACATAAGTCCAAATGCACCATATCAATCAACGTTTTCTCCTCTATGAAAGACCTTCTCATTATCTCTGACATTCTGAAATGTCATGATGACTGACTTAGTTGGTGTAGGCCATCTTTTATTCCTTCTGCCATACCCAGAGTCCCCTGGTTTTCCTTTCAGGCTTACAGCGAGACTCTGAAGGCCAGGCAGACGCTCCCCCTGTTCACATGCCTGGTGGTCCTCAGTCAGCAGCCTGTGTGGCTCTCTCTTAAGAGAGTGGGCTCCTGTCTTCCACTGTGGTAGGGCAGGGCTGCCATGTGGGTTGCAGGGTGAGAAATGAATCCAATGCAACTTTCAATCTACCTGTTTTCACCTGACCCTGGCATCCGGGATTTCAGAGGTTCCTGAGACTCTGGGTTCTTGATTCTGTCACCCCAACCCCTTCAGGCAATTCTCTTTCAGTTTTCCCTCAGTTAAGTCTGGATCATGGGTCATCTGCTTTGAATTTTTCAAACTTTTTTTGACCTCTCTCATCTACTGTTATCACTTATGTTTCTTTTATCCTCATAGGTTTTTTTTTTCCCTTTTAGTAGAGAAACAGAAGATGCTGTATTTTCTATGTTAACTTGAAGCTCTCTGAATTTTGCTTTCTTAATTTAATTAGAGACAGCTCTGTATCAAACATCCTGCTCCTCCTCCTTTTCTCTAAGGATGGTGTCCCATGATGCAGTATATTAGCACTTTGTCACCTGGGTCCTCTTGATGCAAGGGTAATGCCAGGTGGAATGTCATTCCCATTTTGAACCAGAACACTTGAGCGTCTCCAGCCTTGCTGGTTCGCCTCCGTTCCTCAGAGCTTTTGACAGCAGCTGCACAACCTCAGCCTGTGATCTCCTGGGTCTGGAGCCGCCCTTGGTTGAAAGCCACAGAGATCTCTCTAGTATCACCCCACCAACTTGGAGCTTCTGACCCCCATGTGCTTGTCTCATCTGTCTTATTTAAAGGTGTCCAATATGGAGATACAGAAGCAAGATAGAAGTTGACCCCTTTGCCTTCCTTAAGCAGTGGCAGTCCCACACCATGCCAGCACTGGCCTATGTATGGTCTCCATGGCCCTGAAAGGTGGGAGCCTCCTAGGGGGCAGAGGGGACAGGCATGGGCCTCTTGTGCTCAGGAATGGAGCCAAAAGAAGGGATGGGCCAGAAAAAGCTTAGAGAGATGCTCATTGGAGAAGTTTGGGCTGAAGTGGTGCCTTCCTTGGCAGCCGGGGGAAGGTCGAACTGCACCCTTCTCATGGGAAGACATCACAACAGGGCTGGAAAGAGGCTGGAAACAGGATCTGAACAAAGGCCACCTCAAGGCCTGGGTGAGCAGCTCCGAAGAGGGTTCCCTAGGGATGGCTTGTTTCCAAGGACCTTTTCCAGGGTCAGTGCAGAACAAAGGCAAGGGGAGGGCCTTATCCACCAGAGAAAATCCCTCTCTCCTCTCCTTTCTCTCATCAGATCCTTACCTTCCAAAGATGCCACTCAAAAGCCCCTGGGGGTGGAAGGAGGAGCAGCTGGGTCACACTCCATTGCCCAGAGGACAAGCCCGTGCAACCCCTGGGAGGTCTATCACTTTTTAAAATGATCTACCCTTTGCCTAGCAGCTCTGTGCTTACGAATGTCTTCCGAGGACTGACTCTCACCTGTTGGATATTTATACATAAATGCTTAATATAGAATTATTTGTAAAGCTGGAAACTATAAACAACTTGTGTCCATAACAAGGGGGTTGGCGATGAATTATGGTTCATCTACACGAGGGAATGATTCATGGCCATTAAAAAAGAATGAGGCAGATCTCTATGTGCTTTCTGTAAAACTGGCCAAGAGGAAAACTTCAACAACAACCACCAAAAAAGGTGCAGAACAGTATGAATGAGATGAATGCTACAGGATGCATGGGGTAAAACTGTTGAAGGACATGTGCATGGAAAATTCTGGAAACCTGGGGGAGAAACTGCCGGTAACTCGGGCTGTGTCAGGGAGAACAGCTGGGAGGAAGAAATGGAAACATTTTTTTTTTCATTGGGGATTTTTATCCTATTTAAATTTTCTAGCCATGCTCACAATATTATTTCCTTTCATTTTATTTTTATTCATGTATTACTTTCTAGAAAATATCAATAAAGGTTCTATGGGTAGGAGAATATGGGTCTTTGGGGCATTTGTGATGCTTTTTGTTTTTGAAAAAAGCATGCAAATATTGTTTTTAAAAGGGAAATAACCCAGCCCTGTGACTGCCCCTGGTCTCCACAGCTCTGCTACCTGGCCACCCCTCATCCTTATTTGTACCTGGAGAGGCTTATGCTTATGGCCACCAGGCTGGACATGGTGCCCAGGGAGGGTTAGCTCAAGCAGAGAAAACAGAGGGATCAAGAGGGAATAGGCCAGGGTTTAAATGGTCTCCTCGTTCCCACCTCCCCCAATTCCCACCCACCCCCAAATGTCCGTTATCCCTCTAGCGGGTTTTGTTGAGCACCTGGCTTGGGCCAAGCATGTGCACACCTCTCATCATATCCACTCTCACCACAGTCCCATGGTAGGTGGCACGTGCCACATCTCCATGCAGGATGATGGTGGTCCTGGCCAGGAGGCTTCCACACTGGGCAGGGATCTGTGTGAGAACAGGGCCCGACCTCCCCTCCCACGCCCACTGCCTCCAGGGTGTCTGGCACATAAGGGGCCGGAGGAGAGGCTCGGGCAGGACAGGGAGGGGGATGCACCCCAGTTCACACAGCCCATAGACGGCCAGAATGGGTTTCAGCCCTCCACTTCTTAAGTCCTTTTCTCATTTCCTTCATTGTCCCAAGGAGGCCCTGACAGCTCTGTGATCCTACAGAACCGCTGCCTTGGGTGGCGGCAAAAGCCCTGAAGTCCGATGTCTCTCCATTCAGGGCTTGGGTCTGTCCCTCCCTGTCTGTCCCAGCTGCAGTCCAGGGCCATGTGGCTCTGAGCAAGAATCAAACTTAGAACAAGAGGTTGGACGAAGGCAAGATCCTGGCTCAGGGGAAGGGAAAGGCGAACAGGGGCCTCTACTCACCACAGAATTTCATTTCTGGTCAGGAAGGTCAGGGCCTGCAAAAACATCAGAGATGTGGCCAGTCACTCAGTCCAGCCCCTCCTGGTTTCCTGGGGAGTGGAGAGCTTTGGAGCAGGGAAAGAAAAGCCCAGTCTCTCATTCCACCACTGGGGACATGGAGGCACGACAGCCCAAGGTAACAGACACCTCATGTGGTGGCAGAGTCTGAGGTGATGCCTTTCTCTCCTCCTTGCAGACCTAGAGAGGGGATCAGAGACTTGGCCAAAATCCTGGGCTCTGGAGCAGGAGATGGGGGTGGGGGGGTGCAGGACTGGTTCATGCCACATGGATGCGGGTTTAGCAAAGGCAACAGCCACCTTCCCGCCTGGTAAACTTTAGCATCTCAGGAAAGAGTTCTCCATTATCCCACCTGCTCTGGGAAGCTCCCACCTCTGGCCAGAACTCCCATCTCCCCACCTGGTACTCCTCCAGGTCCTCCCAATGCATCTGGTATCTCAAACACTGTCCCATGCCAACCTCTGCCTTCTCTCTGCCAGCAGTAGAACCTTGGCCCCAAGGTCTCACCAGCTGGTACACCAGTTGATCTGGTTGCCGTGGTGATCCAAGTTCCATCTTCTGACCCCAAGTTGGCACAGAGACAGGTTCTTTAGGTTCCCCAGGCTAAGAGACATCATACCCCAAACCACAAATAGAAAGGTAGCTCAACAGTGGTCTCGAGATTCACACTGTTGTTGACTCTGGAGTCAACCCACCTGGGTTCAAATCTTAAATCTGCCACCTGGTGACCATGTAACATGGGGCAAGCTACTTAGCTTCTATGTGTCTTAGTGTCCTAAAGTGAAGATGATAATTAGAGGACTGCTGTGCGGGTTAGTTGAGTTAGTTGAGTTAATACAGATACTATACCTGGCACATAGTAAGCTCTCAATAAATGTTACAGCCAGGTCCCAGTACTGTGCCAGGCATGGGATACAGAGAATAAGGACCTTCCATGCCATCAGCCAGGTCCCTGCAAGAACAGAGGCCACATTCAATTAGGATAACAGGAAGAGTTCTTAATACAGGAACTCTGCACTGAGGTGAGATGAAGGTGTGGGAAGTCACCCAGGATCATTCAGAATCCTGGGGGTCCTGACAACAGAGTTGTCACCAGCTCTGGCCCAGTAGCTGGTAGAAGAAACACCCCAGGTCACTCTCTCTTCCTCCTCTGATCTCCTGAGGCAGGGAGTCAAGATCAGGACTGGGAAAAACAGAGAAAATGACCGTACAGCCATCAACGTGGAAGTTTAGGAGGGTCCTTCCGAAACCACCTCCCCTCCTCTGCCTCCTGGGTGGTCTGAGCAGCCACCCTCCAGGACAGGTGCTGTTTCCCTGGCCTGGGGCAGATGCTCGCCATGCTGTCCTAGGTGAAGAGCCCAGGGACTTTCTGGTGCAGATAATCTGTGTTTCTAGAAACGCAGCTGCACTCTGTCCCCAGAGACAGCCTGGCAGGAGAAGCCTGGAGCTCTCGTTCCTTCATTTCCTCAACAGACACCAGTCCAAGTATCCACAAGGTGCCCAGGACTCCACTTGACCCTGGGGAGCGCCGACCGCACACCCACACCCCGAGCACGTGCATACACCCTGGCTATGGAGGCAGAGGACACGGAGGTAACAGTGCAGAGTTGTAAGAATGTGGAAGAGGAGACACTGTGGGCAGAGGGCTTTGTGTGCACAGTGGCACTCCAATGACTGTTCATGGTGGTTGAGGACATGGACTTTGAAATATGAAAGGCCTGGCTGCGTCTCTCCTTGATGGGTCAGTCTGAGAAAATCCTAAAGCCACTCCAGACCTCAATCCCTCCACCTGCAAAATGGGACTAGTAAATCTATGCTTTATAATGATTGCAAGAATGAAATAAAATGATGTAGGTAAAATTCTTTTTTAACAAGATACTGTGCAGGTTGAGAACTCAACGAAGGGCAAATCATATTATTATTTCTAAAGGTTGGGCATGGGAGGAAGAGCAGGACTTCAGCAGGCAAAACCAGCAACTAAATCCCCTCTCCCACTAAACCCTGCCATTAACTGAGCAGCTCCTATCTGCCAGGCTTGTGTGCAGAAGCTGGCTCTATTTATGAGACAGCAGCTCTGGGAGATTGGTGGGGTATCCTTGCTCCTTTGATCAGGGGAAAGAGGAAACTGGTGAGGGTAAATGACACCCTTGGCATGGGCAAGTTGCAGGTCTAGGGATTCCCAACCATGGAGTGGGGAACCCAGGAAGGCCAGGGGACTGTTGAGATCACTTCCTTCTTCATTCTCGCTGGGTTCTCCTGATTACATGAGGTGCAAGTGGCTGTTAGACACCATCTGCCTGTGCCTTTAACAGCTGGCTGACATTTGCTCAAAGGAAGACAACAAAAACAAAGGAGCCCAGAGATTTGAGGTCCTGGCTCAGTTCCTATGCATTGGCCTAGGCAGTGGAGACACCCCATGAACGGGAGCCCACAGCCTTGGGTGTCAAGGAGCTATGAGAGCAGAAAGCAAGAACCAAGCTGGAGGGCTGCTGCTGGAGCACCGGTGGTCCTGAGCATCACCTGAGCAGACACCTGACTGAGCCACGATCCAGGTGGAGAAGATGGGGACAGTGTTCCAGACCCAGAAGGCTGCAGGATGCAGCCAGAATTGCATAACAATGTTTGGTTTTCATATTTGTTTTATAGAGTAACTTCCATTCTGAAAATGATGCAGGTTCATCATTTATAAGTGGTAAAAAATGTCCTTTATACATGTATCTCTTTAATTAAAAGAAATAGGAGCCCATTAAAGAAAAACATTAAGTAAATGATTAGACCAGTAGTAAAGAAATGTGCCAGAAATCACAAAGGTCTCTTTCCCCCCTCTCTCCCCTCTGCCCGCTCCCCCTCACACACACACACACACACACACACACACACACACACACACCCCAAGGTTTGCCAACTCTGCCCCCTCCTCTCTCCTTTAGCTTTCATCCTCTGGAACTCACACACCCCTCCCCGCCCCCACAGGCTTTATGGATTTTGTCCTAGAGAAGGTTTTCATTGGTTCCCACAAATAACAATAGTAACAATAAGAATGTCACCTTGTATTTGCATATCCTTTTACAATCCCCAAATGCTTTTTAATGTACCATCTCATTTACCCAAGAAATAAAAGCTTATACTCCTTTAAAAAAAAGAAAGAAAAAATCCCCCCTGTAATTCTGCCTTTAACCAACCTGCACCCTCCCCCATCAGTGCCCTACATCTCTCCAACTCCTCTTCAACTAGGATTTTGAAAGGGGTGTGATTGAGCAGGGAGCAGGCTCTCTGGAAGGACAGGTCTACGTTTTTCCCCTCTAGGGTCTGCATGGGACAGAATGGATTCTTTGTAAGATTTCTGTCACCATGCAATGGACTCTACAAACTGCAAACCCTTCTCCAACATGGATTTAGACATGTCTTTCAACAGACACTGAAAAAGAAAATGTATCTATAATATGTAAAGAACTCTTATAAATCAACAATAAAAAGACAAATAAGCAAACTAAAAACATCATTGGCTTTATCAGGGAGATAGATAGAAGTCAAAATGACAGTGAGATTCCTCTTTGTGCCACTAGGATGGCTGTTTTAATAAAGGTAAATAACTAATGTGAGTGAAGACGTGGAGAAAGTGGAATCCTCACACATTAATGGTGGGACTGTTAAATGGTGCCACCACTTGGAAACCTTTGGAAGTTTATCAAAATATGAAGCAGAGTTACCCTATGATCTTACAGTTCCACTCCTTGGTACAGACCTAATAGAAATGAAAGTATAGTATACACAAAAATCTTATATAAGAACGGTCATGGTAGCATTTTTTGCTTCAAAAATAGAAACAGCACTCTTTGGCTCTTGCTTCCAAGATGACCAAAAAAGAAGAGGAAGAAGAGGAAGAAGGAATTATGGTCCTACCAAAAAGGCCTATTTGCTGCACCAGATACATGCCCAAGGACAAGACCATTAAGAAGTTTGTGGCTGAAACACAGTAGAGGCCACAGCCATGGGATATTTCTGAAGCAAGTGTCTTCAACACTATGTGCTTCCCGGGCTCCATGTGAAGCCACATAAGTGTGTAAATTGTGCCATCCACAGCAAGGTGCTCAGGGGTCGATCTCATGAAGCATAGAAGGACCAACCCTGCCCCCCCACACCCCCTATCTCCCCAATCTAGACCTGCTAGTACTGGCCCGCCTCCTCCACCAGAGCCCATGTGAGGAGCTGGGTCCTTAAAGACAAAGAAAAAACATTTTCTAGAAATAAAATAAATTTTCAGAAGCTAAAGGGGGAGGGAGATTAGGGAGTAAGTGCTAATAGGTAGGTTCCCCCCCACCACCCCGCAGCCTGGGGTAATGAACTTGTTTTAAATTAGTTGGCGGTGATGATGTTATAAATCTGAATATTCTAAAAACCACTGGGGTATATACTTTACAAGCATGAATTGTATGGTATGTCAATCAGATCTCAAAGCTGTTATTTTAAAAATGTCAGGGGGTGTTTAAATCTTACCTTTATGCCTCTCTCACAGTAAGCCGCCATAAATATTATTAAAGAAAAGTGTAAATGAGAGGCTGTGGCCGAGTCCTGCAGCCCTGGGGGGTTACACCCACAGCAGCGGTTCAGCGCTGGGACCAGGGTAGAGCCTGCTGGAGCTGGTCAATGTCTGGCTCTGAACCTAGACTAGACTTTTGAGCGCCCATTGTCCATAGAAAGGAATTTCTAAATTGCTTTGGTGTGGAAAGGTACAGGCCTGAGGGGAGAGCACATCCTGGTTTCTCTGGGGGACATCCTGGACTCGAGAATGGCAGGGCCACCTAGTAGTTCGGGACAGAGAGGATGAAGACCGCAGAGAGGAAGCGAGACAGCCCTGTGCTCCTTACCCAAAGATGGGGCCATGGTCTTAGAAACGTCCTGGAGCACAGAGAACCTGGCACTGGAGCCGGCTCTGCAGAGGCAAAGGGACCTCTAGGCTCCTACGCACGCTGCAGCGGCTCCAGCACCATTTGATCGCAGGTGCGCAGCGGCAGGGGAATGCCCAAGGCAGGGCTGTTGGCTTCCCTGGCTGGATGGCAGCATGCAGTAACCAAGAAGTTCCCACAACCCCACAAGGGTTAGGGCGCAGAGGGCCTAAACAGGTTGCAGAGCTCAGTAAAGCGCTTTCCCGGGGCTCAATGAGACCCGATGGACTCCCATAGTGCATGCGCACATTACCCAAAAGGCCAGGTGTGGTGAATATGGACAGGTAATATCCTGGAATTTCAGTCTTTGTGTCCTTTCCCCCACCTCCCCATAAGACACAGTTTCTCTCTTGTCTCCCATTTGCATTGCCTGGGGAAGGGAAAGTAGAATTGTTACAGCATGGGGTGGGGGGGGGGCTGAAAAGCAGTCAATGTTCCATCAATAAACCAGACTTTAGGGAGTTTGAAGGGAAGGCTGAGGGAAGGAGAGACTGGGGCGTATAACAGAAGGACAAAAGGAAGCACCATGCCACCAGGGAGGCTGGCCAGCGTGTCCCCACCAGCAGCATCCCAGTTGCCAGCCCTAGGGAACCCTGCTCACTGCACAGGGGGAGAGGCACATATGTCACCGGCTGCTTCTTGCTACCTCCACCACAGCAGCCACTCC